CTCTCTCTCTCTCTCTCTCTCTCTCTCTCTCTCTCTCTCTCTCTCTTTCTCTTTCTCATAGCACTCTCTCTCTCTCTCTCTCTCTCTCTCTCTCTCTCTCTCTCTCTCTCTCTCTCTCTCTCTCTCTCTCTCTCCCCCCCCCCCCTCTCTCTCTCTCCCTCTCTCTCTCTGTCTGCGGGTGGAGGGTGGGTCTGGGTCCCCTCCACGGCCCCCACGGCTGTGAATGCGTGTCTAGGCGCCGACATGTCGAGAACCAACTGGCTGCGGTGCGACTCGACGCTGGATCGGCGGCCCTCTCTCGTCGGGCCGAGATGCGCCGAGATGCGCCGAGGCGGCGCCGAGGTAGGTGCGACTCGACGATGGACGCGGTCTTCGACCACGTCAACCTCGACTTTGCGGACATCAAGTTCTCGAAGATCCTCTCCGCGTCCTTCAAGGGCAGAGAGACGCCGCTCCTCCCGCGCGAGATCACGCGAGATCCCGCGAGATCCCGCGAGATCCCGCGAGATCACGCGAGATCCCGCGAGATCACGCGAGATCACGCGAGATCGCCCTAGAGAGACACCGCTCCTCCCTCGCGGCGCTGCCCGCGAGATCACGCGAGATCACGCGAGATCGCCCGAGATTGCATAGGCGCGTCCTTCCGCGAGGCGTCCTTCACCGACGCCATCCTCGACTCGTGCCACTTCGACGGCGAGACGACCAAAGAAAGAAAGAAAACAGACGATCCAAGGGAGGGAGGGGAGGACGGCACGCCGCCACCACACAGGGACTTTAAGGAGAGGGGTGTGGTGCGCTAGCCGTCGCCCACCCTTGGGCGTCCGCCTCTTCCCAGGCGAGACGACCATGTCGGGCACGACCTTCTCCGGCGACTTGTCCTTCCAGTTCGTGCAGGCGACGCGGGCTCCCTGCACGTCGACGCGGCGACTGCTCGTACCCACCTGACTCCTCGTGTTGTGGAGTGCCTGGGGTAGGCGGGCGGGCTCCAATTCGACCGCGTCGCCTTCAAGCAGCTTCCCGGCTCGGGCGCATCCTTCAAGGGCGCGCGACGCGGTCGTAGTAGTAGCAGTAGTCGTCGTAGTCGTAGGATCTGAGGCTCCAACCTCACCAACGCCGAGTGTCCATTTGACCCGCACTAAAGTCGCCCCACAATAAGGGAGTCAGCAATGCGGTCTAGGCTCCAACCTCACCAACGCGAGGTTCGTCAACGCCTTCCTTGGCGAGGCAGACTTTGGCGAGGCGCTCGCGCCGGGGAGCGATTTTACCGGCGCCGAGGCCACCAAGGCGGACTTCATCAAGGCGGACTTGCGCGGGGCGTCTTTCCGCAGCGCAAACTGCGTCGACGCCAACTTCGGCGGCGCGTCCATCGCCGGCACCGACTTTTTGGGCGCGGAGCTGTGCCGAGCAGGCCCGACAGACGGGAGCGAATGAGAAGGCCAGTGAGGAGCGTGCGAGAGTAGGCGCAAAGCTGTGCTCGAGCCCCGACATCAACACGAACGTGTGCGCCGAGTTCGACGTCCCCTTCATGACCGGCACGCCGATCAACATGGACACGGCCGGGATGGACATGACCGGCTGAACGCGGTCCGTGCGCACACGCGCACGCCCGCGGACCGAGAGGGCGGCACTCAGGACAGCATGTGAGGGTGCGCCTTACGTATACTGTGGATAGTACTCGAGAATCGCCCCGCGGTGTCGTTCACTCTGTGTATGTTCACGTTACTCTTAGTTTCCTCCTGACTCGTGTCTGTGAGTGCGATGAGCACCGGGTTGTGCTGCTGGGCGGAGCCTCACCGGAAATCTTTTTGCATCAGACGCCATCAGGATGACGGACTGTCCGGCGGAGGGTGCCAGAGGAGGTCGTGCAAGCGGCTGAGCGAGGCGACGAGGCGGCGGCGCTGGCGTGGCTCGACGGCGGCGGGCGGGTCAACGCGAGGCTCGAGTTCGTCTTTTCGGACGGCAAGCGTGCGGGCGGCATGACGCTGCTGATGGTTGCAATGGCCAAGGGCCACGAGGGGTTGGTCGAGGCGCTGCTCCAGCGCGGCGCGGATGTCTCGTTGAAGTCTAGCGACGGCGCCACAGCGCTGAGTCTCGCCGCCGGGATTGGCCGCGAGAAGCTGGTCGAGCTGGCGTTGCGGCACGGCGTGGAGATCAACCAGCGGTGCGGCAGCTCCAGCGGCACCATGCTGATGTACGCCGCCTACTTCAACCGCCCCGCCGTCGTGCTCCGCTTGCTGCGGGCGGGCGCAGACATGACGCTGCGCGACGTGAACGGCAAGACGGCGCTGCAGTGGGCCATGGAGAGGGGCCACGCCGAGTGCGTCGAGGCGTTCAGGAGGCATCTCGGGGCGGTGGCGGCGAGCCGGAGCAAGGCACCGTCGGCAGGCGGCGCAGGCGCGGCGGTCGGTGCGAGTGCCGCGGCCTCTGCTTCGAGCGGCGAGGGAGGCGCGGAGGCCGAGCCGAGCAGCGAGGCAGTGCCAAAGGAGGTCGTGCAAGCGACTGAGCGAGGCGACGAGGCGGTGGTGCTGGCGTGGCTCGACGGCGGCGGGCGGGTGAACGCGAGGTTCGAGTTCGTCTTTTCGAACTGCACTGCGGGCGGCATGACGCTGCTGATGCTCGCAATGACGCGTGGAAGGGAGGGGCTGGCCGAGGCGCTGCTCCAGCGCGGCGCGGATGTCTCGTTGCAGACTAGCCACGGCACCACTGCGCTGATGCTTGCCGCCGGGAATGGCCGCGAGAAGCTGGTCGAGTTGGCGTTGCGGCGCGGCGCGGCGATCGACCTTCAGTCCAACACCGGCGACACCGCACTGATGCGGGCCGCTTTCCACGGCCGCCCCGCCGCCCTGCTCTGCTTGCTGCGGGCGGGCGCAGATGTGACGCTGTGCACTACGAGTGGCAAGACCGCGCTGCAGTTTGCCAAGGAGAAGGGCCGCGCCGAGTGCGTGCGCGCCCTCGAGGAGCATGCGGCGGCTGAGAAGGCGGCGGAGAAGGCGGCGGCGGCGGCGGCGTGGGCCGCGGGAGCGGCGGAGAGGGCGGCGCAGAGGGCGGCGGAGGAGAAGGAGGCGGCGCGGCACGCCGAGGAGCTGCTGGCGGAGGTCGAGGCGGAGAAGCGCGCCAAGGGCAAGAAGGGCAAGAAGAAGAAGAAGAAGGGCGGCGGGGCGGGCGGGGCTGGGCCGTCGCAGGAGCCCGAGGAGGGTACCGAGGCGCCGTCGGAGGCAGACGCAGCCGAGGCGGCGAAGAAGGCCGAGGAGGCGAGGCTTCTCCTGCTTCTCGAGACGCTCACCGAGGAGAGGATGCGGTTCGGCATGATCACGGCGGAGAGCCAGGCGGCGGCGTCGGCAGAGGTGGCCGACGCTGCGCGCTTGGACGCTGCGGCGGACGAGGCGGACGAGGAGGCGGAGGCGGACGAGGAGGATGAGGAGGCGGCATTGGCCGCGCTGGCGGATGCCGAGGTTGCGCGGGCGGAGGCCAGAGCAGCGTTGGAGAAGGCCAAGGCGGCGCAGGCGGCGGCCAGGGCGGCGAAGGCGGCGGCTTGGGCGGCGCTGGAGGAGGCCAGGGCGGCGCTAGTCGAGGCCGATCTGGCAGTTGAAGGGGGCGAGACGGCGCTCGAAGGGAGCGACGCGGCGCTCGAGGAGGCGGCGGCCGCTGCAGACGCGGCGCGCACTGCTGCGGCCGCTGCGAGGACGAGGGCGGCAACTGCCAGGACGGCGGCAGATGCAGCCCCGCAGCACTCATAGAGAGTGTGAACTGTCTCTGAGAGGACGTACGCGAGAGAGGGGGGGGTGGCGGGTGGGGGGCGGGGGGCGGAGATGTGCAAAGGAAACATCGGCGGTTTTGAAACATGAACAAACGATTTCCGGCGGGGGCGGAAAGATATCTGACGAAATCCAATTCTTTATCGCTGTGGTGCTTCTTTTTTTTGCACGTGTACCTGTGTTAGTGCCAGTGCGCGCCACCGGCCACCGCCACGCGCGCCAGAAAGAAAAAGAAAGAAAACAGCACCAAGGGAGAGGGATGGGAGGACGGCACGGGGGCGCAACACACCGCCAGGGATTTTAAGGAGAGGAGTCAGCTAGTGTGGTGCTAGCTGTCGCCCACCCTTGGGCGTCTGCCTCTTCCTACGGCTTTACTGCGTTGGGCTGGGTCTTTAGGCATTGTGGGGTTGGCACTCCCATCGACCCTCATGACCTCCTGCGGTCTCTGAGATGGACACCAGTGGGTGTGGGACCACAGCCAGGATACACTCGAAGGCTGGGTAAGCAGTAGAGGTCGATACTCGACGCGTCCCACATGGTCTGTGTCGCTGTCGGCACGCTGTCGACAGGACGTCGAGCGACACCGGTGGCAGTGCCACCCAGGAGTGGTCGGGCGGTCTCCCGTCATGAGAGAGCCACCATGTGATCCGTATGATGATTCCTGACAACCGCCTCAGTCAACTTTCGTCACAGTTCCCGCTCTGAGAGGAGCTGCGGGTCAGCTCGACAGCTGGAGCTGTGTCGCCGGCGTGCGGCGGCCTGCCTCCGGAGGTGCCTCTGAGGTGGATATTTTTTGGTCACCGTGAGAGAACGCGTTCGAATTTTCACTCCGGAACTTCAACTCTGCACGCGCACCGGCCAGGGCTACAATAGTGCCAGTGAGGCGGAGGCGCGAGTCGGAAGGCCGCGACCGTGATTTGGTCCCGTCATTTTCCTACAATCGCTGTCGACCCAGCCACGTATCTCTCTTTTCGCGCAATCCCTCGCCGAGAGTCCCGTGCGCCGTGGCAGCTGTGAAGAGTGAAGGTGGCTGACGCGCCGGTGGAGGACCAGCTGGCCGCACAAGAACAAAAACATGCACCCCAAAACTCTGAACTCTACGGCTTTAGCTAGGACGCCGGCATCCAAAACCCGTCGCCCAGCGTGCACCGAGACGACTTCTCGGCGATCGGCCGCTCCGCCGGGAGGCGGACGACGGCCGGCGGCGGTCCCGGCGGCGAATCGGCAGGCGCGAGGGTGCAGGCCGTCCAGTTGCACCCGTCGGGGCAGGGCAGGTCGCGGTCGCCCGCGAGCTTTCCGCGCCAGCGCGGCGCGAGGCAGCGCAGCGACGAGGCGGCGTCGGAGGCGTTGCACGGCACCGACAGACGCGCCGACTGAACGTAGACGTCGGTGTACTCCTTGTCGGCGATCCGCCGCGTCCCGAGGTCGTGCGCCTCGGATGTCCACGTGTAGTGCGAGAAGTGGCCGTTGAAGAGGCAGTGGTTGTTCGCCTGCGGCGTGCCACCGATCAAAAAGGCGCCGGCGCACGCCTTGTGCGCGTTGAGATACGCCGGCGCGTGGCCGTTTATGCGCGCTTTGATCAACGTGATCTTGAGCGGGTTCGCGTGGATCGGGGCTTTCGGCTTGTACCCACGCAGCGACTCCTTTGGGCAGAGCGGAAATTGCTGCTGGATCGGTGTGCGGGCGACCACCGGCGGAATCGTAAAATCGGCGGCGAGGCGACCGTGCATGAAGCCGCACATCGCATCGTGCGAGCGTCGTTTCTCCGAGGCCGCCAGCTGCGCCAGCGCATCGCACGGGTACGATATGAGCTCGTCGACGTCGCTGAAGATGAGCCACGCGTCGCTCGGCAGCGCGGCCAGCAGGTAGTTGAGCCGCGAAAGCTTGAACGACTCGAGCGCCGACGAGTTGGTCGACCTCTGAATCGACACGTCGGCGACGCCGTGGTCGGCGCACACCGAAATCGCCCTCGCAACCACGCGCGCCGGCGCAAAATCCTCGTGCAGCACGAGGTGCGCGTTCGTCGACAGCACCACGCCCTGAAACGCGTAGTGGCGGAGAAAATGGCCCAGCATCGTGGCGGCGCGCACCGTCGCGAGCGAGAAGAGGTGTAGACGAGTGGAAATCGGCCGGAGCGCGCAGGAACTGTCGCTGGACGACATTTCGCCGCCACCACCCAGGGTTTTTTGGCCGCGAAGAGGGAGGGGTGCTGCTGCCTAACCTCGGAATGTAAGCACACTATGGCTGTGCTGTCTCCTACACAGCCATCTTACCTAAGGATGGCTGAGCTAGCTGCAGTGCAGCCAGAGCCTCCAGGCCGATGGCTGCAATACACACAGGGCAGCCATCCTGAGTAGGGATGGCTGGAAGCTCGCTGCTGCAGCCATACCGCACGCCCCGGGGCGGGCCCTCATGGCTGAGCTGGCTATATCGCAGCCATCTTGGGTAAGATGGCTGGGCCACAGCCATTTCAGCCATCTACTATGGCTGGGGCACAGTCAGTGCAGCCATCCTCCGGAGCATGGCTGGTGATAATTCATTCGATGGCAGCCGTCCGCCGCCCCCGCCACACGCACAAATGGCTGCGCGCTTGCCGCCCCCGGCCTCGCGGGACGGCTGCCATTGGCTGCCATCGAATTATCACCAGCCATGGCTCTGGAGGATGGCTGCAAGCTCTGTGCCACAGCCATAGTAGATGGCTGAAATGGCTGAAATGCCGCTTATGATGTAGAGTTTGTTGTAGAGATTTCACGTTGTAGAGCGCCTCTACATCGCTCTACAACGGAGGCAGTTCGTCACGCGGTGGATGTAGAGCTCTACAGCT